CACCTATAAATTTGATTTCATACCCTCTTTCTATATTAACTCCCCCTACCCTTAATTGGAGTTGATTATCCAGCCCTCGATTACCAAATACCATAAATTTGGTCTTATCCAAATTTAGAGATAATATATTTCTATCACACCATTTCTTTATCTTATCAATTTCCTGAGTAATCAATCCAAAAGGTTGCTGTAAATTCTCACCAGATGCCCATATAGTAGTGTCATCAGCATATAAAATAAATTTCAATAACTCAGATACTTTACATATGTCATTGATATATAATATAAACAGTTTAGGACCCAGAACTGAACCTTGGGGGACTCCACATACAATGTCCAAAACTTTCGACTGATATTCACCCAACTTCACAAATTCACATATTCACCTCCTCTTTGTTTTTCTCCTCTCAGGCTGCAGATCACTGCAGTGCTCATCTCTAAATACCCGTCCATGGTGCCCAGCCAGGAGCTGGCCCCGCTGCTCTCAGTGTTGTACCAGTTTCTAGCAGAGCAGCGGAGAGGGGAGAGGGGACGCTATGTGCTGCGCTGTCTGAGGGAGGTGAACCGATGCCAGGCCCTCTACCCAGAGAGGGCCCAAGTCCACAAGGCTGAGCTCAGTAAGCTGTGGGGGCGGGTGTGGGTCCTTGCGCTGCGAGGGGTCAGCTCACCTCAGGCTGAAGTTCTCAGCCTAGACTTGCTCGGCTCCATTGTCCAGGATGGACTGATAAATATGGACAGAGAGTTCTGGAAGCTCTTTTCTGGATGTGCATGCAAACCATCCCAGTAGGTTTCTGGTGTTTCTTATTGTGCAATGTTAAATTTAATTTTTTGCAATTATAAAAAATAAGGCATTATAGTAACTTTGTGTGTTTTCATGCATGCATTTAGCCTCCATTTCACTTGTCTCTTTTTTTGTCTCGGTGCACAGGAGTGCTGCACTCTGTCTCTCCCAGGCCCTGCTAAAGTGTCCAGTCCCTAAAAGTCTCATATCAAGCTCAGGCTGGGACTGTGTGGGAGTCGCAGAGGGACCTGGGTCACCGAACCTAAAGGAGAGCCTCATAGCCTGGTTGCTGATGACAGATCAGAGTGATGAGATGGAGGATACCTCTAGACCTCACCCCATCATCTGCAGGTTGGCACTGTGTCATTTTTACTTGTCTACTTTCATAATGGTACACTTAAATTACGAGTTCTGTTCTTCAAGGGGTGCACTTTTTGCTGCACACAGGGAAAAAACAAAATATGTGCCATTTACTTGTGATGTTGAGCAGAAGAATAGAGTTTCTTTCTTAATTCTTTTCTTTTTTTTTTAAGCTTTTGTCATTGTTGATTTAGATTTTGTGATACAGGCCTATTAAAGT